CTTTAAAATACCTTTTTGCAAAGATAAAATGTATAAATTTTTAATTTTAAAGTTATTCACATTTGCATATATTTGTAAAAAATATATACAAATGCGGAAAAAAATTAGACCATTAGGTAAAAATTAACAAATATGAAAGTGTTTCACAGGCCTTGAATTTCATGAAATTCAAGTTGCATTTTTCTAAAATCTGGCAGATTTTTATTCTGAGTAATAAAATACTCAAAGCGATCGATAGAACGGCTGACATTTTTCTTTTCAGGGCATCACGGTTTTTGACCTGCGACTTTTCTGATTCTGCAATTTTTAAAGCAAAACTTAATTTGATAAGTTTTTATATTTTATTCTTATTTTTTTAAGAATAATTTATGTCATACAGTAACAAGTTGTTTAAAAACAATGGCTTGCAAAATGGTTTAAAACGAAATGTAAAAAATAAAAAAAATAACTCTTAACCAATTTTTTTTTCCAATGACAGACTTTTCTTAATATCAGTAGAAATATAATAAAAATGAAATAGATAGAAATAGTACTTTGATTTTATCTTGTCAAAATTAAATGTAATAAGTTTTTAGCAGTGCTATTTTAAATCTTATTTTGATCTACATTGCATTATTTTTAATTTAAACCTTTAAGATCGATAAGACTATTAGGAGATATATATTGAGCCTGCTGCAGAGATGAAATTCAAATAATGGTAAAACCATAGAGGTGTTTGATGCTGGCGTCAGCATCTTTTGACCGAGATTAGAATATAAAAATGGTAAAAAGTTCTGTATTCAAAAACAAATGGAGGTCCAAAAAGATGTAAAAACGGATGGAATCGAAGCTGAAAACCTTTTGAAAGCAGCTTTTATTGATGAAGACCAGCCATTAGGTCTTGTATTATACATTTCACCAGGCTACAGGTAACTTTTTGATATTATAGGTCATAATTTGAAAGAATGCCAACGGATGAGACTGCCTCAGACTTTTTGGATACAATGAATTTCAAAACTTTTAAAATCTTTCAAAATCGCTAACGATTCATCAGAACTCACAGCAAAGTTGTAAATCTATCAATCATAGTTTAAGAAATATTTCTCAAAACAAGAAATATATTTCTTGTTCTTATAAATAAATTGCAAGGTAGGATATTTATTTCTTAAAACAAGAAACGTATTTCTTGTTTTAAGAAAAATATTTTGTAGTAAAAAATTCAATTTTGCTGTGCTTACAGTAAAAAATTTTCAAGACAATTTAGAACGTGTTATGAGCTTGGAGAAGCTTTAAAAACTACATCAAATAAAAAATTTCTTGTAAAGAACCAATAAAAAAAAGAAGAAAAGTGGATTCAAGGAGCTAACTTCAGCGACTGCTTTCTCGCTTTCTCGTTATTGAATGGTTCTAATAATTTGAATTTTGATCCAATACCTAACAACAAGCTTTGAACCTTAAAATTACATTTAAAAATAATTTTTTTACATATTTTCTTGAGATATTTCGCTACGTTAGAATTATCTTGTTCTATCTCCACTTTTTGAAAAAAATGAGTTATTGAGTGTGTTATGTACCTTAGAAAAATGTTTTTCTACAGTATTGAAACCTAAGTTGTAAGTAAAAAAGTTGCTGAGAAAATATTAGTTATAAAAAAACTTTTATACGCCATTGTCTAAAGTTTTTATTTTTCAAATCGTTTTATCTCAAAACTTAAAAATGTGGAGATAGAACAAGATAATTCTAACGTCGCGATTTGTCTTAAGCTGAAAATTTATATGTATATAATTATTTATTTTACAATTGCAGCGTTTAAACGCTGAATTCTGAGCAAATTTGCTTCAGAAACAAGAGATCTGTGGCAGTGACTTTATTTAAAGTTTATCAATGTATATTTGCATACATTGATAAATTTTAAGTATTGTTTTACAATCTTTAAGCTTTCAAAAATTATGACCATATAATTTTTGTAACCCTCTAAAATTGAGGGGGTTTAAGCTTTACATGGTCATAATTTATGAATGCTGAGAAAAATAAATTTATAATCATCGATAAAATTTATTGATGAATATAAACTTAGTTATGAAAAGCAAAAAAAAAATTTTTACCAACTTCCCCTTCCTGCTCTCACGTTTGAGGCAGGAAGGGGATGAAATTTTAGGGCTTTTTTGTTCCCACCCTCTAATCATCGCAATTATTTGAAAAGCTTCATTTTTTGACATAAGTATAAATATAAAAATGTTTCGAGTTTGCGCAAATACTAAAAGATGCTGGATCTTTTACTGATCTGTGGTTCGATGCCTACTCTAGGCTTTTTTCTGACATAAAGCAAGCACAAACTTCCAAGTTAAATGCTCTTTTGTGGTGCTCTGTGATGCAACCATTTGGTCTTCTCGTTTACAACAAAAGATCGAAAGTCCTTTACCCAATCTTTTAAGTAAACCATTTTGGATTTGGATTTGTTTGATCCAAGGCTCCAGTAATTGTATTTTTTTTAAAAAACATCATTTGATACTCTTATTAGGTAAAAATCATAAAATTTGTTGTATGACTGAGAAAAAACTCAAAAATCAACAAAAAATCACTTGACAATAGCCAAAGTGTTAATTTAAAAAGTTAATTTATCTATCGTATTCAGTGAAAGATAGGTACAACATATTTCTTAAATTATTTAGCACAGCGTTTTTTTTGGTACAGGAACTCATTTAGAAAATATCGTTGAACAAATTAATTGGATTCAACATCAGAATCTATTCGCGCCAATGCTTGGAAATTGCTCTAAATTTAGTCAAAAATCATAAAAAGTATAACTTCGAACAATTAGCGCGAATACTTCTATCAAAAAAAAATAAATAAGGAAATTTTTTTTATATAAATATGACCTCTACGCCACTCATTATATATATATATATATATATATATATATATATATATATATATATATATATATATATATATATATATATATATATATATATATATAACCCTAGATGCGCCTTAAGGCAACAGTAAAAAATTTACTTCCTTAAGGCGACTCATGAAAATTTTTAACTTTTTTTAAAAAAAAAAAAGCGCAACAGATTCGCTAGAGATTAATGATGATTAATCAGTTACTGGTTTGAGAATTTAATATTTACTGAAAAAGTTATACGAGTTATATAAATTTGCTGTCACCTTAACGTTTTTTGTATATTTTAAAGTCGCCTAAAGGAAAAAAAAACCCTAGATCAACTGTAAGGTGACAGATTTTTGTTTAGATGTAATCATTTTTTTAAATAAAGATTAAGTTAACAAATATTTATTTACCTCGTTTATCGTTTATATTCGGAGCATATTTCAAAATAATAACAATTTTCTTTTCTATTATTTTATAAAGTTTTAATACATTATTATAACAAAAACTCGAACAACCACAAAGTTTAAAAACAATAACAATTTAAAATACTCAGGGTTTAAACTGACGCAAGTAGGCACCATATTACACAGTTTTAACACAAATTTTATTAGAAAAAGCAAGTTACCTCTTTTTAGGAAAACGTTTATACTATTTTTATTATACTTATAAGCACAAATAACGCGTGTTAATCTACAGATTTAATGATATTAAATGAGATTTAATTATTTGGTAGCAGGCTTCCTTCTGTCATATCAGCCCGCAAAGGGCATAAAAGCAACCTAGTAGCATTAATCAATTCCCATAAGTGCAACTGTCTTTTTCCGAAAATTCTGTTTTATTCTTCGAGTATTAACAATTCTAGTTCTGATTTGTTTGAGGTCTAAACAAAATTTTTCTGCAAATACTTCCATTTCTTTACGGCCTAAAAAAAGAAAACGATAAAATTATTAATTTTTGAAAAAAATAGTAATAACCGAAATCTCTACAAGTAAATCTAATTTATTTATAGCCAAATTACAGGCCTTATCAACATGTGAACAGTTAAAATTTTAAAGATTTTACTGTTTATGTATTAACTTTTCTATAAATGTGTTTCTGTAAAAAACACTAACACGTTGAAAAGAGCAACGTAACTAGTTTTTTAATGTTTTAATGAGTACGCTTGTACTGGGCGTAAACTGAAAACCGCAATAAAAGCAAATAAAAAGACTTCATAATAGTAAAACTGATGAAATACCTGGATATCCACGATTATTTTTAAGGTGAAGGGCAAATTCTTTGTTAAACGCAACTTTACTAGACTTATTCCATGACTTTTTTTCAACTGTTAAATTTTTCTTTTTATTGATCGCTTTTTCTGAATAAAATAAAATTAGGTAAGACATTTTGAACACTTCGTTTCCTTGATTTAATAAACAATAATAACTAGCTTAGTAAATAATAAGCAAAAAGGCAAAAATTCATATAATTAAGGGGAAAAGACATAAATATTTAGAAGTGAATATATAGAGGTTTGAAGTAAAAATATACAAATACTTATGTACATCAAAAATTATTGACAATTACAATAGCATATGCAATTTCAAAACTATCAATTTATGACAGTTAATCTAATTATTTACTTTCAAAAAAAGTTAAAATCCCATTATTGTTTAAAAGAATTATATTTAAATAGAGTTAAAATATATAAACTCTTTAAAATGAATTAAAAACGTTTAAAATGTTTGAGAAAGCCTTTGACTAGTGTTTACCAGTGGGCTCGTCCATAAATTACGTCACGCCATTTTTGACTATTTGTGACCCCCTCCCTTCCATGTCACAATACCGTGACACTTGAGAAACAAGTTACGTATTAGTCATCACAAAGCCATTAACCCCTCTCCTAGAGCGTGAGGTCATTACATAGTGGGATGACCCCAGTGTAATGATTTACCAAACCTTGTCAGTATTGGCTTCAACAAGCGTCTTTAAGTTAAAATTGGGATATTTTTATTTTCTTTAAACATGGTTCAAGGGTTAAAAAAAAAAGTATTATTTTAATTCCAAAGATTTATCTACCATACTTTAAAATAGGGAATACTAACTTAATAAATGCATTTTAAAAACGTAAAAAACACAATATAAGCAAATAGACCTTTTTCAAGTTTTAGCACTTGCTTTATCTTTATTTCACCTTCCACTTTACTATCATTTCCAGATATCTTTGTAAAATCAACTAAATAGAAATTATGAACACCTTTCAGAGACAAATTATACAATCCAAAAAAATGAAATTAAAAAACATAAAAGAGGAAATTATCGACAATCAGTATTTAACCTGAGATTATAATAATAAAATTATGGCATATCAAATGTACTCAAAATAGCTTTAGCATAAACAAAACAAAAGTAAAAACTTATTATTTAGTAAAAACATCAAAAGTAATTTTTTAACCTTTTAAACATTATGTTAAAACAATGTTATTTTGCAGCTATTTTACTTCATACAATATTTATTAAGGCTAAATTTATTTTGTGATTTTAAACACTAATTTGTTAACCGCTTTTGCAAACAACTTTTTTTGGGTTAAAATTTTCATTAAAATTCAAATATAAATTAAAAATACAGGTTACTATCACTTTAGTTTAGAAAACATTTAATGTTAAACTTTGAAGCTTGAACTAAGCTTGTGGTAGCTTAAGCATCATATCAATTTTTTTTATTATTATTAGGAAATGAAGAAATTGTATAACTTTTAACATTCCTAACCTTCATGGAAAGATCTTTTAGGATACTTTTTTCTTCCAGTTTCACTTTCTATAACTATAAACAAAATGATAACAATATAAAAAAATAATAATTAAAAACCTTACCTAAAAGAATACAAAAAAAGTAAACAAATAAAAAATCAGTTGAACCTTTTTTTAAATCAAGGACTGGCCTAATTTTTAAACCACTATTCAGTTTACTATCATTTTTGGTTATCAACTCAACTAATAAGTAAAAATAAAATAAAAGTATAATTCAATTAAAAAGTAATCTTTTTATATTTAATTCAACTTTAAAAAAGCAATCAACATTACTCACCATCAGTTGGTATTACTTGTTCTCCTATAGTGCTTAAGTTTTCTTCAGCTGAATTAGAAATAATTGACTTGAATGGAGTTAGATCAACCTTTGTCACTTCTTGAATAGCTCTTAGTCTTTTGCCTGTTGTTTTTATTTGTAAGGATCCAGGAGCAGCTTGGTAAACATTTTGATTGATTCTTTCTGAATGTCCAAAGTGATTATAAATTAAAGTTTTTTCCTTTTCTGATAACTCCAGCTTTGCTAAGATTGTAGCAATACGATGCCGATTTTGGGTGGCATTAATTGCACCTTTTTTATCTAAACGAATTAATACTTCATTTATGCAATGCCAACCACTAGCATGGCTCATGCTTTTTTGGGTACTGGCAAAAATATATTGGTTTTCATCAGGAATTCCAGCATTTTTCCTAACTTCTTTGTTTGTCAAATATCGCATTGCTTTTATGCATTCTGGTGGAAAGAGAACAGGAACTGTGTGATCCGAACCTTTCCCTGTTTGATAAGTGATAAACATTTGCTCAATATCAAATTCTTCAGGCAGATCTTGTTTATCCATCCATTCTCCATTTAAAGCCTCATTCCACTGAAATAAGTGTAACCGCACAGGTTCTCCACCTCGTCTGGCATTAAAAATAGTCAAACATGTGGCAGTTGCAGATCGGATAGTGACAAATGATTCACATGGATGTTGAAAATCATCAATAGAATTCATAATTTTGTTACATTCCTCAATAAGCAGTTGAACATCTGCTTCATTTGGGAGATTAATTGGTTTCCGAAAATCAATATTTTTACGATAATTTAGATTATAATAAGCATCACCAAATAAATCATCTTCATAAAGCTTTAAAACCTTTAAAAAGTCAACTACTCTCTGAGATTTCAAATCATCATTTTTTACTAAAAAGTAACCAATCAAAAATTTTGCTGTTAACTTTAATAAATTAAGTATACTGATTTTTAGGCCACTTTTTTGTGCACTTAATAAAAGATGGTCCGAATCTTCATTTGATTTTTCTGATAAAGAATTAATAGCTTCTCCAACTATGGTGATTACTTCTCGACAGTACATGTCAGCTGCATTATTTAAGATATTATCTATTTTAACAGCTTTCTGATTGCTATAGATACTTTTAAAAGATAAGTATAATCTTGCAGTTAACCGCATTCGTGAACGAACCAATCTTTTAGTCTCTGAAACTTTATCTTTCTTTCTTTTAAGAGCGCTATAAGATCTAGAACCAATCATTAAAATGATTTTGTCAGTTTTAATATAATTTCCAATATCATCCAGTTGTAATGTGTTTAGAAGGTTGACAAAATCATTTGAATAATTTTCATAATCTTTACTTGCTATAGAAACCATAGGTATCATTAGATTGGTATTTGTACCTTGGCAAACAAGTTGGTGACGAGCTTTATACTTTCTTGAATAGAAACCTTTACACCCACAACACATAAGAGGGAGTTCATCATTTTGTATTTTTGACTTTCTTTCTCTAATAAAACATGTTTGACCTGATTCCACCAGTGAAACATTGTGATTTCTAATAGCTTCCTTTCGAAATATTTCTATATAACGATTCTGATCTACAGAGTTCATATTTAAAAGAGGCAATACCGAAATTTCAGTACCATGCTTTAAAAGAATATGGCGTTTTAACCGAGTCTGAGGAACTTTGCAAAATAAACAAAGTCGTGGTGGTTTTGTGTACTTGTTGGTTTCTGGTTTTGAGGTCTCAACCTCAATTTCTCCACATGTTTTAATTAGATTCAAACATTTTTTTGTAATTTTACCAAAATCATCACATGTTGAATTTAGGTCTTCTTTAGGAACATCACTATTGGAAGCTTCTGAAAACGTTTTTAGTTCTTCCCAAGAAGCACATCTTTCAATTATAGGAGTTGTAATTAAACTAGGAAGTACAGCAATAAACTCTGTTTCTTTGTTTGGTGACAAACACACTAACTCGTTTTCATTTTCAAAAATAAGATCACATTTTGTAAAACTTGATTCAGTAATATTATCAACAGTGGAAAGATATTGATATTCAATTTCTGAGTCAGAATCATCGAACAATGGCTTTTCCAATGAAACTTTCAAAACATCTAATTTCTAAACAACAAATTGACTGAACAGTTAACATAAAAACTTAATCAAACAGCAAAAGCACTTTTAAATTTTTAAATTATTACCAAATATTTAAGTACTGGTAAATGTTAGTAATTTTTGACTTAAATATAAATAAACTAGATAATATCTTAAATAATGCAGATGACATGTACTGTCAAGAAGTAATTGCCATAGTTGGAGAAGTTATTAATTCTTTATCAGAAATATCAAATGAAGACTCATTTATTAAGAATATGGTAATATAATCATAAAAACATGATACAAACATGATAAAATTTGTATATCATTAATTATGTAGTATTTAATTTTTCTTTAAAACAAGGTTTTACTTAATTAGTTAATAACTATTAAGTTATCTATTTGTAGTAAATAATTACATCATTGAAGCATCATTTTTAAACTTTTTCATGTGAAATAACAAAATGATTTGGTTATATAATTATTACTTCATTGATAAAGCTCTAATTGATGCAATAATAATTAATGAAATTATTAATTATAAATATAACTAATGAATTATAATTAAATAATAATTAATAGCTTTTATTTTGACAGTAATATCTAGCTGCACTTTATTGCAGACTTGACTAAAAGACTTGCTTATTGTTTAGTATACATTTAGTATATTTTATCTGCTTTGTTTTTTTTCAGCATGTTTTAAACAGCCCTTGGTTGGTATTCTGCAATTAAAATTTTTGCGTGTTTTATACCGCAACAACATATTTATTGTAAGAGACAAAAGATGCAAAAAGTTATAGAACAACTTATTATTGATGTTTAAGCTACAAGCTTATTTTATACCTTGACTTTATAAAGAAAAAAAAAGAAAAAAGAAAAGAGTTTTAACTTTGTCAAAAAAAGTTTAAAAAAGTGAAAAGAAATAACCACTAAGATATTAGACCACTATAGTTTGATTTACTAAGGTCTTCTATACAAAAAAATAATGTCCAAGAAAAAGCCTTTATTATGAAACCTGTTTATGTTAAGTAGTTAAGAGTTTTTAAATAAAATCATAACACAATGTTTTATTTTATGTAAATGAAATAAAATATAAATTAAATTATACCTCCCTATTTATTGCTCCAATTTCAACACAATTAGCTTGGTTATAACATAATGGCTGTAAACATGATGCCTTAACATTTAATAAGTATACAAGTAATTTTAATTCTTAACAAGCATGCCTAAATAATATACTTTAAATTTTTAAATATATGCTCAATTAAAAATAAATAATATATGTAGAGTATAGTGCAAAACTTTCACATTATGGTACTTCAAAAATATATCAGAAGCTTTGAAAAAATAAATCTAAAAAATTAAATCATTTTTGGTTAATCAAAACAGTCTTAATAGTCTATACAATGTCAAAACCAAACATAGCAAAACAAGCATCTGCTATGGTTTTTTTATTTTATCATACCAGTCATAAGAGTCCTCACTATTTCTATATTTATCTACAAATTTAAATAAATGAAAACAAAAAACTGTCATATTCATTTTTAGATTTCACACTCCCCCTTTCCTCACACTACTTTATGTTGAACAAAAAATGATAGTAATAAACCAAAAGTTAAAACTTTTTAAAGATAAAATCATTTTTTAAAATAAAATTTAGAAAACTTGATAGAGTTAAATAATAAACTATAAAATAAATATTAACATAAATAAAACACACCATGGTCCGCCAGAACATTTTCTTTCTTTCATCACCATAATCGTATCTAAAAATATCAAAATTATTTCTTCTAAAATCAAAACTTCGTTTGTTACATGTTTTTGTACAAACTACATGTGTTACAACAGATATTTTAAATCAAGAACAAATAACTATTAGTTCTAAAAAAAAATTTAAAAAAAAAAAAAAGTAAATATTGGAGATGAAGTATTATGAAAAACAATCAATCAAAATGCAAACAATAAAATTATAACATTAAAAAAGATGATGGTAATGATGACAGTAACAATGATAGTAGTAAAAAAAGACATTTACAATAATCATTTCTTAATTATTCACAAAAATCATTTCTTAAAATTTATTTATACACTTGCCCAAGCTAAATGAGTTTGCAGTTTGACATTTTACATTTTACTTTTTTTATGGCTTTTTTTTAGTTCTATTCAGTTTTTTTTTTATAAATCTAGTATGCAGATAGGAAATCATTTTTATCTGTTGTTAATTTCACATATATTTCTTAGTCTCAAACCAGTTTTTTGTGCTCTTAATTAAAGATTATTATTTTATACAGCATCATCCTGGACACCAGATAATAGAAAAAATTATAATTTAAAGCTGATGTTCTTTTTGAGACACTATATCTTTTTTATTTATTCACAAATTTCCTAATGAATTATTTTAAAGTAATTTCACAGTATAATTTTATGCCAACAGATTAAGAATTTACTAAAAACTAATTTTTACCTCAAAAAAAAACAACAACAACCATGCAAACCATGTATTGTAAGCCGAAACGTAAATGGAATAATATTTTAAAATATAAAATATACCTTAATTCAGTGCCAACATCTATTGTTTTTGTAGCGAAAAGACAAAGACTAACATGACTAGACTCAACTATTCTTTTCATTTTTGCATTAGCATATATTGAAGGTGAGTCGTTTACCATGCATCCCATGAAACTTAGTTGGTTTGTAGCATCAATGCTTAAAAAAAAAAAAAAACATAAATTAAATGAGTATCAGAAGAATAAAAAACAATAATAGAGTAAATTTTGTTTCATAATTTTCATGAGTAAATTTAAATTTCATAATCAATGTTAATTTTTGTATTTATACTTTCTTAAATATGTAAAAAATTCTAAAAAAGCCATAAAAACCATACAAATTTAAGAGCCATACAAACCATAAAAGTTAAAGAAGAACAAAATAATAAAAAATGAAAAAATATTTAACTTACCAAACAGATTTACCATAAATATCTTTGATCCCATTATAAATAAAACAACCCAATCCTTCATTCTCATATTGTTGGGACCTCAATTTTGCCTCATTTAAACTAATAACATCACCTAATTAATACAGATACAAAAATATTTATACACATGAGACAGGGTTGCTAGCCAATAGCTAATTCAAAATTTCAGGATATTTTCGAGACTTTTCAAGGAAAGTTTTGGGTATTTTAAAGATATAATGATCTTTATTCAACCAGAAAAAAAAACAATATGTTGATTTATAAAAAAATATGAAAAAGAAAAATGACTAAATAAATAGTAGATGTTCATATTACTGACAGTAAAATTAAACAAAAATTTTGATGAATTACAAAAAAACATACAATTATTACATTCTCTGTAAATCTACACAAAATTAAGAATCTGTAAAAGATAAAAACATGACAAAATATTTAACTTTAAAAAACAAACAGGATTTCTAAGAATTATTGCTAAAAAGTGTTTTTTCAAGACTTTGCCAAGTTTTTAAAGACAGCTGACCACTCTATAAAAAATATTGTCAGTTTGACTAATTATTTGGCTGGTACTCATATCTTATGTACTGAAATCCAAAATTTAGCAGGTACTGGATACTTCAGATACTCAAATCTAAAATCAGCCGCATATCCTGACTCAGGGACCAACATTAATTTATCCATTCATTTATTTAATTATCCATAATCTTATCCAACATCAGGGTTAAGATCAAATAAGTATTTGGTAAAAAAAATTTGATGTATTTGTAATGTTATTTGATAAAAAAAAATTTCCTAAATATTTGTATTTGATTTTAATGTATTTCTGTTCCAGTTTCATAAAATAGATTAACCAATGTATTTCTGTTCCAGTTTCATAAAATAGGTTAATCAATGTTTTTTTTGTTGATAATACCATATGATTTATTGTTTTTTTTTCTTCATTTTTAACAATAAAATAAATTAAAAACTTGTTTTTATAGAAGATTTGTTAGAAGGCTTGTTTTTATTCTTCTATATAGTAGACCATTTTATCAGTCTTGTCTTGAAAAAATCTTTATATTTTCTCTTAACCTAAATTTCAAATAATTGTATTTGAATTTGGAAAACACTGATTACATATATATTGTATTTTTATTTGAAAATCTATTTCTATTTAATCAAACATACTTGATCCTAACTATGCTTGACATAGATTAAAAATATGCTAATTAACATGGCAGAAAAATTTAAGAAAATTCTATCACAATAACACAATTGCTTTGCAAACTACACAAAGACCACTAAAACATTTAATAACAACAACTAACACCACTAATAACAAATTAAAATTATTAACAAAGCTAAGTAAAAATCTTTATATTCACATAACAACTGAATGTTAAAAAAATAATAATAAGTTTAATAAAATCTGAAAAAATCACATAAAAAATACCTCTGTACTGTAAAAGAAAGTCTCCTTTCAGAAATTTATTTGTTGTAAATACACCATAACCTGAATTGGTTAAACAATAAGTGAGTCTGATAAATTATTTAATAAACTTTTAGTTTTAAACAAACAAACAAAAAAAAAAAAACCTATGACTTTTAAAACAATATAAAATAAGAAATGGGAAACTAAACCTTGTAGTGTCATCCAAGCCTTTAATATTTTTTAATGGTTCCATCAATATTAAAGATCTAAAACTATTAGGAATCTAAAGGAAATATAATAACCAACCCTGGGAATTAGGAAAAACGAGGTCGGCAATTAATTTAATTTGCCGACCTCAATCTTATATAGGTCAGCAAAAAAAATGTGACACTAAGGTCTTACCATAAAACACTAAAATGAGGTCAGCAATTTTTTGCTGACCTCAAACACTTTGAGGTCAGCAGTTAGGTTGGCATTGCAGAATGCTGACTCCAAGTGTTGCTTAACTTAAGATACTACAACAAAAAAACCATAAGACATCGCCAAAATTAATTTTGGTAATTTTAAGAGATTAGATAAAAACATTGAATATGACTTTTGATTTAATAGTAAAATATAGTAGTAGGGATCTTAAACTCTTAACACACGTTGTATTCATATTAAAAATGTTTAAAAAAATGGTTTAATCTTAAGATTTTCTTTTTTAAAAAAAAGAAAATCTTAAGATGAATTATTTACATAAAATTGTGAACTTTTAAAACAATATACAATAAGGAACAACAAATCAAACTTTTATCAAAGTATATTTTATGACTAAAAAAGCCTAAAGAATATAAAACTATGTATAACAGGGATGTGATTATAAAAAATATCAGCTAAGCAACAGCCAAATGAACCTTAGTATGACTTTTAAATCAATATATAAAAGGAAACAACAAACCAAACCGCAAGGAGCTGCCCATAAAAAAGGTAACAATAAATATATTTTGCACTTTTTTTAAGATTTTCATTTAACTTATTTAGCTATTTATATTTTTCATATTATGGATTTTTTAGTGGATGCACAACTTACGGACAATACCTTAAGGCAACATCTGCATTTTCAAACAAAAGAACCTTAAATTGAATTTTAAATTAATTTTAAACAAATTTTAGGGTGTCATTTAATTATTTTTAAAAATATATTTTATCTAATAACTTAAGTATCTTAAAATTAAACTAAAAATACGAAACAAGGAACAATCAACTAAACCTTAAGACGTCATACATACTTTTTAAAGATATTTTTGTAATGAAACTCAGTTAAAAAAAGAGCTTAAAGGTGACTTTAATAATTTATAAAAATAATTTTTTTTAATAATTTAATTTATGACTAAAGACTTAAAAGGTAAAATTTTAAACAATAAATAACAAGGAACAATAAAGCAAACATAAGGACAACAAAGATTTTCTAAAGATATTTTAAAATATAATTCAATCAAAAGAGACAATCAAAAAAATCTTAGGGTGACTTTTAGAATAAAAATTAAAGAGCAACAATAAAACACACCATAAGACAACCTCCATATTTATTATTAGATATTTTTAAAGTAAAACTCAGAAAACCAAAAAATACCTAAAGGTGACTATTAAAAACAAGATGACAACTAGATTTTTATACAAAATAATTTTATAGTAAAATTAAGTAAAACAAAAGAACCTTGAGGTGACTTAAAACAATATAAAATTAAAAACTTAAAACAATATACGAAAATGAAGAATAAACTAAATCTTAAAATGAAGAATAAACTAAATCTTAAATAACTAAATAAACTTAAGGTAAAATTTAAAAAAAAATATAACTAGAAACAATATAAAAAACTGTAAGACGACATATAGACTTTTTGAAGATATTTAAAAAATATAATTCAGCCAAACAAAAACTTAATGTGACTTTAAAGTGGAAAATAGAAACCAACAATAAAACAAACTTTAAGGCAACTTACAGATTTTTTTAATTGTATATTTTTATAGTAAAATTCAGTACAACAAGAGACGAAATTTTAAAAACAATATATATATATATATATATATATATATATATATATATATATATATATATATATATATATATATATATATATATATATATATATATAAAAAGAAGAATAAAGTAAACCTTAAAGTGTCATCAAGATTTTTTTTTAATAATTTATTTTAAAGATAAAGAAACTTTTATAGTTAAAAAAATAATAAGGTAAAATTTAAATCAATATATAAAATGGTAGAATAAACCAAACCTTGAGAGGTCACCTAGATTTTTAAAAATCTTACTTTATTAATAAAATAATTTACATAAAATTTAAAACAATATATAACAAGGGATTATGAGAAAATTTAAGGAAACATAAAGACTTGTTGAAGATATTTTTAAAATACAATAAATATATGACAACATCTATATCCTTTTACAGATATTTTTAAAACATAATTAAGCCAAACAAGAAAATCTTAAGTTGGACGGATGTTAACTTTTGTAATGTATCAAATTTTTTTTATATGAATTTTTAAAGAGAAATTTCTGTTTTTTTTTTTAAAGTTTTATATTTTTATATTTTATATTAATTTTTATAAAACTTTTATATTTTTTTTTACAATTTTTTTCAATAAATTTATCCGTCAAATTATTTATTTTAGCAACGTCCTTAACAACCATAGTTTCAACATTATGGCCCAAAGTCTGAAAAAGTTTTGCATCAAATTAAAAACCTATTATTTAACAAAACCTTACATAAAAAAAATTTGATATAGTTAAACTATAAATAAGTCAGAACTTACTTTAAAAATTTAAAACCAATATATAAAGTTTGTTAGCTGAATTTAACCATATTTGATTTTTAATTTTAATAAATGATATCTTGAGCTATTTTTTTCCCAACATGTTAAAAAATATCAGGATATTTCAAGGGTCAAAGCGTTTTAAACTTCTTTGATTCCCAGGTCCCTTAACCATGAAAAACAGTTTCTTCTAAGTTACCATAGCAATTGCTATCATGAAAAAAAAAATCATTTGTTAAAACTAATCTTTTTCCAGTGGTTGTCATTTAATACAAAATTTGAAATTTAGGACTTTTTATTGAAATAGCCTTTCTCAAAAACTTTTTATTGATTTGGTTTTCATGGTAACAGTAGTAAAAGCAGTTTATAATATTTTATAATTTTTATGCAAGTTACTCACCATAGAGTTCTTTATCATTCCTGATACATGATTTTAATTCCATTTAAAAGAATTAATAGTGTAGCATTAATTTTTGCAGAAATTCAGCTTTTTTCAAATTTTGGTTTTAGACCTATAATAAAACAGAGAAGGCAAGCTTCGACAAAAATAAAAAGTTAGTTTTTTCTTGGTATTCATTTATTCTTTTGTTTTGTTCAAAAAAAATTTAGCCTAAATATTTGTTTTATCATTCTCTTTAATATGAACACATGTCTCTGAGATTTGGGATGTTGATTTTTTAAACAACATAAAATAATTAAAAAAATAGGTGGCTTTTGAACAATGTATAAAGAAGAAGAATAAACCCAACTATAAAGCATCCACTAGACTTATTTTTTAATACTTTATTTTATAACTAAAGAAACTTAAGTTAAAATTTAAAATAGTATTTAACAAGAAACAATTTCGCAAACCCATAAGGCGATATATAGACTCTCTAAAGATGTTATAAAAATATAAATCAGCCAAACAAAAAACTTGAGTGACTTTAAAAAAAAAGAAAGAAAGTAAAAAACAATAAAACAAACCTTAAGGCAACCTCAATTGGGTCAAATCAAACAATAACCTTAAATATATAATAGTATTTTTCATTGAAAAATATTAGATTTTTTAATTGTAAACTCAGTAAATCAGGCTTGGTCGGGAAGCGAGTGCGATCACACTCGATAATTGACCACGGAAATAATATTTAGTTGCGTAAAACCGGCCAGATTTTTTAGTCGTTTTGAGAACATTTCAAAAACAAACAATAAAGTGCAACAAGATTAACTGGACCGTTGAGAGACAGTTAAAAAAAGAAAACAGCTTTTAACGCAAAAAAAACTTTAGGCAAAAAAATACGATTAGAGCAATTATTTTTGAAACATCGTTTTTTTTTATTTTTTTTTATAAAATTATGCGACATTTTTTATACTAAGTAACAACTTACTATTAATGATTGTTTAATAAGAAAACAAATGTTCTTTAATTTATCAACGAGTATATAATTTTTATTTATATACTTGTCTTATTTCCAGTGCTGGATTGAAGAGGTGGGGGAGAGGGAGACGGGATAGAAGGGCTATAGCCCCAGGACTCACATTGTTAGAGGTTGCGAAATAGTCAAAAGGACCATTCTGTATTTTTTTTAATCATTTTTAAGCTGTGGCACATAATAAATGCCACTAAAATAATGCAGCCCGCGGCCCTGAAAGGTCCAACAAGATTCAACCAGTAAAACTAACGCTAGATGATTTATTTATAAATAAAAAGGTTTTTTAAATAACTGTTTTATGCTTCGCGTAGTTTGAAAAGTTTAACACATTTGATTCTTTTCTTTCTATTCTTTTTAGTAAGATGAACAAATAAAATAATTAAATCATTGAATTACTGTAGAAATTCAATTCAATTAAAAAACGTTAAATTACTTAGTGAGAAGGAAGCGGAACAGCTTCGCATTACCGCTGATAATGATTAGTGAGTGGGCTTTATAATTTTAATTAGTATTTAAAACAGAAAAGAGTTAATTATAACGAGACTGTGAGAATGGCTGAAGCAAAAATAATTGAAGTTAGTAAACCAATTTCTAAGAACTTAAAAACTTTTCTTTCTAAGAACTTAAAAACATAAATTTAAAACATTTATTTTTGCAAACACTTAATGTTAGTTTAAAACATTTATAGCTTTGTAGATGTGGCTTCGAGAATGACATAGTATTAAAATAAAAGTTTGTTTGATATTATATTGTTAAAACTAATTATGCTAGAAATTTCGACGAAAACATAACAAAACTCAAATAATACAACTTTTTAAAATAATTCAACAGAATACTCTAGAACATTCGGTT